AATGTGGGTTGGTGATTTCAAACTTATAATTAGAAATTATAAGCCCAGGTTTCCTCACAATGTTTTCCTTCACCGTTTGTCAGTGGTGTCTTTGTACTTTCTTAGATTATTAAATAATAAATAAAAAATATATATACATAACTCGAAAAAGTCACATTGGTACTTTGCCGTTGCAACTTGCACTCTCATGCATGAGAAACGGGCTTCTTAAACCTCCTGGCCACCACAACACAAGTAAAGAAATGTAAAATGAAAATGAACATTTTTGGTATAAAACTAAAGCAATCTAAAATAAAGATGGCATTTATTTTATAGATTGTTTATATATAGTTACTAGGTACCTGTTTAAAATAAAACAAATGTATTATTTTGAAATACTTTTATTTCATTGTATTTAGGTTGTTTCTAGGAGTACTTCTTCTAAAAAGAGAGCAGGCGGTGTCATACAGCACACACTTCATTAATTGCTGATATCTGTAAACAAGTAAGATAACTGTAAATAAAGTAAACAAAACAACATTTTTTCCATTAGTTTCACATGTTATAATTCTGATTCCCTATCTCAAAATAGAAAAGATAAAAATAAATATTTGATTACATTATTTGATTTTACAATGTTAAAATGCCTTTAACTCGTCGAGTACCATCATTATAGACACAATTATAGAACAATAGGTTGCGGTCACCGGTGACCGCTTGGTGTTTGACAGTTTAATAGGGTATTCCTATAACACACATCATAGGAGCTCAAACAGCATGCTAATTAATCAATTATTATAATTATAACATGTGTATAAACCTATTATAAACCGGTTATACACTTCACATACCTATTGAAGCTCTGACAGCCGATCAACATCTTCTGGCCTCATCTGTTCTACAAACGGCAATGTTAAAGTGAGGCTTAGTCCATGTTTACATAACACATTACATCCTGATAGTGAACACTATGAGGTGGTATGTCAGGTTGTGGTCTTATAGATCCGACTCTTGTTAAGGCTCTCAGCCAGCATGGAACACGATCTTCATCATTGGAAGTAAGCTAAAAAAAGTAATATTATTAGAATGTCATATTGACTTTAAATTATATGATAATAGTATATGGTTAATACAATAAATTATTACCTTTCGTGGCTGAATCCAATCAGATACTATATGAGCTAGTCTTTGCTCCTGTTCGTTGGCGCCTTCAATTAAACCCCTGCGTCACCTTATCCTTGCAATGGAATGCCCACATACGACACAGACATGTCAATGATCAGTTTGTTTGCTGGACATACTTTCAGGAACATCCCAATACATTGCTAATTGCCAGCAAGCATGGCAAATATGGTCGGTAGGAGAGATCTAGAATAAAATGATACATTATAGGTAGATAACACTATGCCCCCTTTATTTAGGCAACAAGGTGACTTTCGATACGTCATGTGTAATTATAGGTAAGTACCTACTTACATCTCTAGGATAAGTCCACAATGGGATATTGTTGACCACGTCTAGTCTTCACTCTCATTTCCTAGAGCATGCCGTCTCATGCGACAAACTCTGGTTGTAATTAATGCACTGTAAATTCGTCATCGCGACAAAATACAACACACTATGCACAAATGAAAATAAGTGTATTTTCGCAATTTCGGCTACGGAGGAACGGCTGCCCAACTCAAAGTATCACCAGATGAATAAAATGACTTCCAATTTGTACAAACACATCATAACACCGCATTCGAAACCAACAGCAAGGCGCACTTGACATTGACAAATCGTCTTCAACAACAAATGTCAAATACCAGTTCAACATTGCCATATTCAAGTTTGTGAAAATGTTAATTATCGTTAATAATCCATGTAGACCTCACAAAATGAAATTAAAATAATGATATTTACTTATAAAAAATGTTTGAAATGGAAAGGAAAATATTCCATTGATATTAAAATAAATGAGTTTATGAAATAGCGACATTCAATATACTCTGATTTCATGTTTACGCATGGCAACTTTATAAACGTCAATCGCGGTTTGTTTTTATTTAATATGTAGCCGTTTTGTTGATTGCTTCTTATCATTATTGAATATGAGATTTTCCAGGGCTTCCCAAGTTCTAAAAATCTATTAAATATGCTAACATAACGTATTTAGAGGATTCTATAGCTACCCAATTGCCCAAGGCAAAACAATGACAAATCTTTTTTTAGCAAAGCGGTACGAAATCTGCCGTTCTCCTTTATGAAAATGATGAATCTTCGAACTGGTATAACTTCTTCATCTAGGATCCTATAACTTTCACGCCATATTGACTTTTGCTCCAAATGGCTAGTTCTAACGATACGTACCGACTTTAACCGACTTCAAAAAAAAGGAGGAGGTTCTTAATTCGACCGTGTATATGTTTTTTTTTTTTCGTTAGTCGGCGCTTTCAGAAACGGCCCCAAAAAAGGATCTACTTTAAGAATCAAAATCTTAAACCAGCACTTGGTTCGAAGAAAATCAATAACTATCTACCGCTGGCTAATATTAACACATTTCAAAATCCAAACACCATTTATTACACTACAAACAAACTGCAAAACACTTTAAAACTAATACATATTGATGTCAGTTTAATACAAACACATACAATTGACGCGCGACTCGGGCTTCGAACCCGCTACCCGTGCGTCAGTCATAAAGCAATAACTATCACCAGGTTATTTTAGCGAAAACATAACGTAAACAGATACTAGCTAACATCTGCTATGAAAGAGTTACCAATCTATTTTTATCTTTGTACTGAAACATATTAAAGAAAAATGTGCAGAAGTCTAGATTTTGTCTAATGTCATAAAATACATAACATCACGCCTTTTATCCCCGAAGGGGTAGGCAGAGGTGTACATGCCACTATACAATGTAACACCCACTTTTCACTATTTATGTTATGAGTCCCATGTAATAGGGGGTGCGCCTATTGTAAAATACACTATAAAAAAATACGCGTAAGGTTGTCTTCTGTATAGAGCTTAAGAAGTAGAGGTATACACATACAACCTAGCAGTCACTTTTTACCAGCTACGTCATGTGTTCCATTTAAAGGCCAATTTCAAGCCATGCTAGAGGCTCATTTTCATGAGCAGCGATACTACGGGTAGAGGAAGGTACGCGTGAATCACGCCAGAGGGCGCGCTGGGTACCGCAGACTCGAGTAACCAGTAGCAGTGCGATTATGAACCTCTAGCATGGCTTGAAACTAGTCGAGTTTCTCGTCAAACAGTTCCGTAAGTAATCCAAAAACATAATAATTAAAAGGCTATTGCCATTTTGTCTGGGACTATTCTAGACTACGTGCAGTTATGCTTGCGGCCACTTAAATTCCTAAAAATAGAAATTATAAAGTTTAAAGTGGGTCTACTGTAGAATAACTACTTCATCAGGCACCTTGATTGAAGTCACGGTAAACAGTTTTACAGGTGTTGACAACTGCTCTATATCAATGCTTCTTTTTTATTTTTTCGCAGACTAAACTATCTAGATGCTTCTAGCTGAGAAACTACTGTTACTCAGTGTATCTAGTGATCACAGGAATAGATTTTTTTTGAAGTTGAGCACTTTTCAAGGTAGGTACAATAGGTAAAATAATTGTAACTAAAATATTTGGTAAAGGCACTGTAAATAAGGCACCAACAATGCCCTATCTCTGTACCAGTTAAAGATACTGAAGGGAAAACGTCTACTTTATTAGCGTTTAAGAGTACCTATTAAAATAAATTAATAGATAAAAATACTTCTTTTATACGTGTACGTTTAAAAAGTTTAAAAAAAACTGGCTTCACTCCATCTTTTTTAAAGTCGGTTAACAAATATACTAAGGCCTAAGTGTGGGAGAGCCATGCTTCGGCACGAATGGGTCGGCTCGACCGGATTGATACCACGGCCTCAAAGAAAACCGTCGTGAAGCTACGCTTGCGTTGTGTTTCGTCGTGTGAGTGAGGTTACCGGAGGCCCAATTACCCTCCCCTTCCCCAATCTCCCCAATACCTGAATCCCCAACGATACTCAAAATCCTAATCCCCAAAAGGCCGGTAACGCACTTGTAACGCCTCTGGTGTTGGAGGTGTCTATGAGCGACGCCGATTGCTTACCATCAGGTGGTCCGTCTGCTCGTTTACCGGCGTTTGGCTCCTAAGTGTAACAAATACTTTTTTGAAATTTGCATCAAAATCGGCTCAATTAATCGCGAGATAACCGCGCACAAACAGACATACATATAAAACAAACTAAGAAGAACGAACCTCCTTTATTTAACTTTTTGAAGTCGGTCAATAAGACACATAACAAGGAGATTATCAAATAGAAACGATTTATCTTCACAAATACCCAATCTCGAATATTCCTTTCCATTTAGTTCAAGCTAAATTCAGCGCGAAAAATTCAGTTGTACTAATGACTAATATCGTCTTAAAATAAAAATACCGACAAACAAGGAACTAATGAACTATGTATCATCATGAAATCCAGGTTCCTAATGAATGTGTCTCTATTAATAACTACACTAGACTGCCAGTGACGTCGTAGGCAACGTTTTTATGGTACAGGGCGGCGAATGAGCTAACGGATCACCTGATGGTAAGCAATCAGTGGCGCCGTCTATAGATAACCATAAACCTAGTTACAAATGCGTTACTGGCCTTTAAGGGGTTAGGGCATTGAGGACTTGGGGGGGCCTAGAAGGCCGTGTTATACAGGGCTCTCCTAAATATAAAAATATTTATAATCTGGAACTATCGTAATCACTAGTCACATCGCGTTACCGCGGCCGCTCAAACTTTATGGACCGAAGAAATTCATTCGAATAGTGAAAGTAAATTAATAATTTATATAAAACTAATAAAAAGTGATAAATATTTAATTTCTTTTTTCTTATGTAAACTGATTAATATGCATTTAGTAGTTATTATAATAAAAAACTAAAAAGTTTGTTTTGTTAGTTCCGTATGCTAATACTAATAATAATATTATTACTTTGTAATTTATTTGTTGAATTAAATGAACAACTGTAGTTAGATGTGTTATGATTTTTTTCAAAAATCTCCAGGGTTTCCTAAAATCAAAGTCAAAGCATTTATTTCAATTAAACCATAATTTATACAAGAAAACAATCAATACTTAGATAAAACAGATTTAAGTTTAAGAGTGGGAGGTCGCTACCTCGCTACGTCACATGTTCCTACAAAACGTAGCGAATCGTGACGTCACACGATATTTCAAATCAATATATCGTCGAATGTAATTTAACTTTAAAAGAAAAGAAAAAATACATGTCTACTGATATAATATAATCTACCAGATGGACTCTAAGCCTTTAACTGCCGATATAAATAGTTAAAGGTCTAGCTTCGACCATCATTGTCCGACACGGCATACAATGTGTTAAAACAAATGGGAGCTACCCTATTGATTAAATATGTCTTTAGGGAACACAGAGTATAGTTCCTTAGGATCGAAAAAGGAGGATCCTCCGAGCAGGCGAGGTGATCGTGCCTGGCGGGCTTTCTGCCCACCAGTTGTTCGTTAGGATTTTCTATCTTATTCGCTTGTAAACTTTGCATGTGCGATGTAGAATTCTTGTGACGTCATCAGTTGAATTCTGACATGTGTCGCCATATGTCTAACAACATTTATAATTATAATATAACTATCGTGAGACATACTAAATTAATTATTACTAGCGACCCGCCCCGGCTTCGCACGGGTGCAATATGTATATACATACAAACCTTCCTTAAGAATCACTCTATCTATTAAAAAAAACCGCATCAAAATCCGTTGCGTAGTTTTAAAGATCTAAGCATACATACGGACATACAGCGAAAGCGACTTTGTTTTATACTATGTATTGATGTTTTCGGCTTACTCATGTAGCTGTTCAGTCGCCGCGTTGCGGGTCGCAGAATGTTGCTCATGAATATGAGCCTCTAGCATGGCTTGAAACTAGTCGAGTTCCTCGTCAAATAATTACGTGAGTAAGCCGAAAACATAATAATTAATGTCTAACAATAGTTGCAATAGCAAAACTATCACGTATGTTATTCATATTGTAGGCAGTTATAAGTTATAACATAACTAAGACAAGTGTCATAAAATATTGATGTTTCTATTGTTCGTGCCCAAATATAATACTTGGACTATTACAAGCGACATTAATATTAAGATTATGTATTAAGATATTAACAATTTGTATTGTTTTGAGTGGAGTTATTTTATTTGTTGATGGTAACAGCAGGGATGGAATATTTGGGGTCTATTTAGACATCTATCTATTTTGCAAGCACAGCGATTTAGGGAGGGATCTCAGGTTTGATTTCCGAGTTGAGAATATGATTAGGACTTTTGCGACATCATGGAGTGTGGGACTAAGCTAATTGTAATGATAGGCTCATTCCAATGAGGCGTACCAGTTTCCCCGGTTTAAAAGAAGCTTGCTTGCTGTCACAGATTATTAACCTAGCTTAACTTTTCGAATGATAATAAAATTATCGAACAGTGCAGGAATGCCTGCCTTGGTCATTTTAGTGTGATGCTAACAAAACAATATTAACCATCGCCCATAACTTTCGCATTCACGTGTTGTTCTGTGACTTACTCTTTGGAATGCGTATAAATGGTTATTCTTCCTTTAATTTATGTACACATAAAGAAAAAGTACTTACATTTCCTGAGAAATCAAACTTCGCGATAACCAGCTCCAAAACCTGGTGTGGCTGCTGTGGCGGTGGGGCGGCTACCTTAGCCAGCGCTTGCGGCAGTGGCCGGACTAAGGGCGTCGTGTCCAAATAGTGAAGCCGGTAGAACGCTAGCAACGCCGGCATGTCGGCGAAGAGCTGGTCTCCGATCCGGAACCGGATCGTTCCGTCCGCGGATACAACGCGGTTTATTATGTAGTGGGAGACTCGGTCGTCTTCTCTGAAAATTTGAAGGGTTTTATTTTTGGTGGGCTGGTAAATAAATACGCAAGTGTGTTTCGTTTTTATTTGTAGCGTATCTTGCGTGAAAGACTAAGAAATATCAATTTGTGAATGAAGGGCTCCATTGCAGGGCTTTTCTACCCTCCTCCTGCCACTCGTCTCTGCGCAAAGCAGTCTGAGGCCAATCCTGGTCATAAGCATCAAGTTCATCCTGATATATCTTTCTACGCCTGCCACGACATCTGTTGACGTGTGATTACGATATCGTAGTTAAATTAAACTGGAAATGTAACTAACCTGACACACAGCACATAGTCTCCTGTGATAGTCTTGGAGTCCCTGACGAGAAACACTCCACTCTCCGTCTCGTTGAGGAGCAGCCTCGTGGCCTCAGCGCGAGACAGATCTCTGAAGTACCAGCTGTAGACAGAACAACAAATTTCAGTCATGTGCCTGCTGTATATCAGAAAATAGCAGGATGAAATGGCTGGAGTAATAAAATTGGCGTATACAACACAACAGAACCGATTATGATAATAACTGTTGGGATAGTTAGACATTAGGTATAGATTTCATAATTTCATCTCGTTAACCTTATTTTGTCATCTGTGCGGAAGATTTGGATGTTTGTCCTATATACAAAATTTTTTTACGATGACACATTTAGGAAGATATCAATTACGGCATTTCAGGAACGAAAATGAAACGATCGAGCGCTGGATTTATTGTTGTTTGTGTGGTAAAGACACGACACGACCACAGTAAGTATACCATAAATGGCGTAAATTGAATCTATACAAGACGTTTAGAAATTTAATTTGGTGAAGGTAGAATCGAACCAGATAATTCCAATATACATACGAAACCAAGGAAGTGGATCAAAACTAGGAATTAACAGTTTCACTAAGTACGGTTTCAAGGTCGGAACTATTAGCTGCTAATTACCAACAAAACGTTTTTGTTGTCTCAATACAAGACGTTTTTGTACTAATTACTTCATGAGTTGAGAAAATTTCAAGGCAATTGGCCCAATCGCTTTAACTTGAGATTTTTCAGTACATTGACAGAATTTTAATACAATCTAGATCATGGCGTGATGTTTTAGGTATAGTCTATAGCTATCCTCGATTACTGGACTATCCAACACAAAAACTAATGACTATCGAACCAGTAGTTGTCGAGGTTAGTACGTTTTAAACAAATTAATGGTGTGAAAACTACATTTCTGCTAATCCTTTCTGATTAAAGGTGAATGTTATGTAGTTAATATCTTGTTCGTCGAGAAGGGCGTCTTATGTTCGATTGCTGAATCAGGCAACTATGGCAATTGGCAGACAGACGAATATCAGACTTGTTTTTTTTGGTTAATTTACAATTGGTTACAATAATTATGTTGCAGTTGTAGGTAGGATTTTTTTGAGGGGGAAAATCATCTTTTTACTTCTCCCGGCTGGGTGAGGAGGGAGGGAGTGTCAGACTCTTACTGACTAAAGACTAAGGGTAGTAAGGAATTGAGTGCACTTATCCACATATTTTCATTGCAACACATGGTGCACAGTTGTTTATCAGCTATGTAATCAGTAATCAATAGTGATAGTACCAATTTTGAGACAATCTCTAGCAATCAGTTTGTGACTACAAGAAAAATTTACAATTTAACACAGTAACCTTTACAACACCTGCGGGTGTTTCGAGTGTCACGAGTTTTTTTTTTAGGGGGGAAAATTATCGAATGACTGCTCTCGCCTGGGTGAGGCGGGAGGGAGTGTCAGACTCTTACTGACTAAAAAACACCCCGTTCCTTCTCCTGCACGTCGAGCCGAAGCCCCGGTAACCCGTTAGGTTCTCCGCGACGCGGTCACGAGTTGGGGATATAACCAATGTTACTATTATATCATTTCTTCATACATTCTATTTATAAAAACCTTCTTTGGAATATTATGAATATA